AAAAAATGAACCAGTGAACATACAACTAGAAACCATGCATAATACTGGGGAAACGGGGATTTTTGCTTCATTCAGATCAAAACCCGAGGTTGGTCTCCAAGCTGTGTGACCTTGAGCAAGTCTCTTCACTTCTCTGAACCCAGGTTTTCCCTTGCATTCAGTGAAGATAACGATTCCTGTGGCACAAGGTGGCTGCAAGGCTCGAGTGACAGTGTCTGTGAATCCTTGGCACTTGGCACACGGTAGGCATTCAGCAGTGGCAGCCACTGCTACTGGTATTGTCATCTCCAGCCGCCCACTGTGGGCCAGGGACCGGAGGCCGCCAGCCTTGCATGGCGCCCCTTCACGAAGAGCTCTGACTAATTCACAGATGCGCATTACTCACCAGCCTCCCACCAGCGCCTTCCAGCGGATGGCGAGGACCGGTGGCCAGCTGGTCCCGTGGCCAGGCTGGGGGGAGCTCACCAGTACCTTCCCTGGACCAGTCCCGGCAGCATCCTGCCCTGGCCTGGGAGGAGACCTCCTGGGAGCCCGTGGGGAGCGCTGCCCGCTGTCCTGTCCGCCCAGGACACAGCTCGTGGGAGATGCAGATCCGAGCCTGGGCGCCCATCTCTCTTTCGGGCTGACACGGCTCCGTATTTATTTTCCCTGGGCCTTGGTGCTCTGGAATCCAGCTTGGAGGGTGTTTTGACAGACGGTTGACACTTCTCGGCTCCTCTGGCAGAAACATGCTCCGGTGGGGGGAGGGTGGGCAGGGAGGAGGATTCCAAACGACAAAGCCTCTTCCTGGCTAGGAGGACGGGCACCTGGACACTCCCGCCTCACTGTCCACCCCTCAGCTCTTCCACGTTTGGGTGCCGGGAGGGGTCCAAAGGGGTTCAGGCGAGGAAATAATTGCAAAGAGGGGGAGGGGCCCCCAGAGGCTGATCACCAAGCTTCCGATGACAGTCATGCCCACATGGTTATCGACGCCGATAATACTGTCATTGTCAACGACCACTGCTTTTTATGACCGACAGTGGGCGGGCCCAGGCCTCAGGGAACGCCCCCTTCCTCTGCATCTCCCTTGTGCAGCCCCTGACTCGTGGTGGTTTGAGAAATGCTGGTACCCGCCGCCCCTCCTCTGGCCACAGATGTGACAAATGAGAACCTGCAGGCAGTCGATCAGTGGACTCTCAGGGACCCGGAGCTGACTGCAAGGTCCCAACCCACTGGCAGGACCTCAGAGGTGCACTCAGCTTGTCCCTTCTCTGGGGTCATTTAGAACCAGCCAAGAGTCTGCCTCCTGGGAGCAGGGACCCTAACTCAGACAACTCCATGGGCCTCTGAATGACGGGGTGCGGGAGAGGGGAGGGGACACAGGGAGGCAGGTCTAAACTGTAGGAAGACGGCAGCACCATGGCTCCGGGCATACGGGGACCTGGAGACCAGGTTTGATCTCCTCCTTGTCCATTCACCACGTTTCCACCACGGAGTCGGTGGCTCGCTGATCCGATCTGAATCAGTGCCTGCCCCCATGGAGATGGTACTTCAGCGGGTAACCTTAGGAGAATTACTTGATGTTTCTGTTCTATTAAGGAAATCATCTGAACATCCCCCACTCGGGGTCAAGATGACAAAGGTGCCGGAACCCCAGGGGTGACAACCACAGTTTCAATCCCACTAAATCCAGGGACTTACTAGACAGTCAATGTTCTAGGTTACTGTGGCCCAGAGGGACCCCACAGGTCACCCCAGCCAGCTCTGTCACTTTACAAATGAAGCTCAGAGAAGGGAAGTAGTTTGCCCAAGGACACCCTGGGAATCTGTGGTCAGGTTGGGGCTGGGATCCGGCCTCTCCCCTCCCAGGGTCCTCCCACCACAGGACCACTCCTTTCTCAATCCCTTTCCTGGTCTTTAAGGGCAAGAGTGAGCCAAGGCCTGGGTACACACCCTTCAAAAGGCCAGCCTCCCGGGCAGGGCTTGCTGTGACCCCACACCCCCCCTTCCCAGAACCTCCCTTCCTTGGAGAGGCTGAGGCCTCTCAGGCACCCAGCCCTGGGAATTTCCCCGAGGAAGGAGGCAGAAGCTGCAGAGGCCATGGGCAGGGGAGGGTCAGACTTCCAAAGAGACGGGAATGGAGACGTGGGGTCTGCGGCGGAGGAGGCGGTGAGCCTGGGAGAATGGAGTCGGCTCCCCTGGGCCTGCTGCACCTGGGAGTGGAGACTGCGCCAGAGCCAAGCTAAGGAAAGTGGGAGAGAGAAGAGGAGGACGGCGGAAAGACAGACCAAGAACATGGACAGGTGGGACGAAGGGCAGGGAAACAAAGAAAGTGCAAGAAAAGAAAGTGGACCCTGGTGGGAGAAGGCAGGTCTGACCAGGT